TAAATCAATGTATCGTTGTATATACGTACAATGACAACAAAGGTTATTATTATTCCAGGCCGCAACTGGAATACTGCTTTTGATCCCATTACAATCCAGTTCTGATCCCATTACAAAAAAAAGAAGATGTTGAGATTTTGGGAAAAGTGCAAAGAAGAGCAACTAAGAGGATTAAAGGCCTGGAGACTAAGACGTATGAGGAACTGTTGCAGGATTTGGGTATGGCTAGTCTAGTGAAGAGAAGGATTAGGGGGGACATGACAGCAGTACTCCAGTATTTGAGGGGCTGCCACAAAGAGGAGGGAAGTCAGTTGCTAGCAGTTTTGCACAATAATTTGGATTTTGTGGAAATGCAGTTACATTTATCTTCTAACCCACCACCAAGCTGGAATCCTTGCAATATATAAAGCCATCAAACTTACCCGAAGTTGAAAAGAACTCAGATTGGCCTGGATAAAGCTTGTCTTTCAACTAACCAGCTTGTCTTTCAACTAACCAGCTTGTCTTTCAACTAGCTAGGTGTGCTTGTGCTAATGCTGGCCCTGGCTTCCTCCTTCAGCTCAGGCTAGAAAATTTGAGAATTCCTCACCCCATGTTTACCCTGGGAGCAAGAGAGGCAGACTCCTTAAAGCCCCAGGTGACTCATGAATGGCTTCAGGAGAGTTTGATGCTGGCTTCCAGGAGCAAATTCTGAAGCATTGCAAAAACCAGCCAGCATACAAGCAAGCAAACAAACAAAAAAAAGAAATGGAGCAAGTTCGCCCTCTAATGTTCTAATGTAAAAAAAGCAGCTCAAGGAGTGTTTTTCAAACTGGCCACTTTAAGATATGTGAACTTCAACTCCCAGAATTCCTCAGCTGCGGAATTCTGGGAGTTGAAGTCCACATATCTTAAAGTGACAGAGTTTAAAAACTGTGCTAAGACTCCTATTTGCATTTAAGGAGAGCTTGGGAGTGAAACCGTGACATACATAAATACGTTGGGTGGATTTTTAGCTGTCTGGGAACAAATCAGATGAATAAAAATGGATTACCTTCTATTTTCTTCTGGGTGTGTGTGTGGAAAACAAGTGTCAGATGGAGGAGGAAAAAAACCCAGCATTTCAATTCAGACGATTCTCAGCCGTGGGAAAGGCATTAGGCAGCCTGGAATATACACAAAAGGAAAAGAGAGAAATTGCAGAGAAATTACTGGTCATGCTACACATTTAGGAAGCCCAAGTTTTATCATCCAAATAAATTGCCAGCCCTACAATTAAACGAAGACATCCTGAAGAGGGCTGGCGGTGAACAATAGGTGCCACAATGGTTGTTGGAACGCACACTACGCAACGTTGTCTTGGGTGTGTGCTAAGAGAGGGCACTATCCTTGCTGTTTTCACATGGCGTTGTCAGGGTGCGAATATTTCCAATGATCGGCTTGCAGTTTTGGATGAAAAGTGAGACTTCAGAAAATAAGAATGGTTAAGGTGGGAGTAAGGCTAGTGAAAATCAACCAAGAGTTGGGAAGTGCCATCCAATGGGTTGGTGGGTGGGCGGGCAGCCGAGCCTGTTGCTTTCCCTGCTTCGTTGGAGGTGTGTGCAGGGTGTAATTTGCTGTACAAAGGAAAAACCCCTCCTCAGATCTTCATCACATACACAAGAAGCTGCATAAGGGTGTCAGAGAACTCCAGACCATTAACCCCAGGTTGTTTGAAATGACTGGGGCAGGGGGACGGGGAGGAAAAATATCAGGAAAACCCAAACCTGTTTTAAATGTACCTTAGCTAAAACTGCTTCCTTCTGTGACTTGGGGGTAAGAATTAGCCAGTTTGGGCAAGGCAAAATCATATTTTATATATTGATTAAGAAGGGTCCTTCCTTCCCTGCTCAATCTAATCTATCTATCTATCTATCTATCTATCTATCTATCTATCTATCTATC